TCCTGGCAGTTTCTTTGAAAGACCCAGAGGACTGAAGACATGAAGCTTTGGAAAGATTTCAGTTGAATGAAATAGTGCCTTAATCAGCTATGCTTTTTTCTAGCCACTTCTAGGGCATCTGACTTAAATAGACATTACAAAACTAAATTATTAGCCCCATATAACAAATCTGAATAAAAAGCACTTCACTTAAAACAATTCCCCTTCTTCAGCAATTTTAATGTCAAACCTACTAATTCTACGGTCATCCACAAATTTTCCAGGAAAACAATGGAGTAAATGCGATACATTTCTATTATGCAAGCAAAACAGACTTTTAAAAACACTGTGGCCTGTTTCAAGCAAATAAAATTCACCTAAAGGAAACCCTAAACCTAATTTTTCACCCCTTTCAAAAATCTCCGCTATGCATTTGGAGTTAAAATCTTGATGCAACTCTAAAAGAAGTAGTATGGCTCATTGGTCTGAGTTAAACATATTTCACCCACAGAATTAACCAAAGTCCATAGAAACATTCAAAGGATCTAGAATTCTAATGAAGAACTTTTACTGAACCAAGCGTATAGAGAAGTTAGCCAAGTTTTGGGACACGAAGAGACCTTCCTCAGATCTTCTGAGGAATAATGAAAATAAAAGATATCGCTAAGAGCCCCTCACATCTTGTACATCATGGCTATAACAACACTCTAACCCCACTACAAAGAAGAACTTACAATAAGAAACTAATACCAATCTCAACAGCGGCAGCAGAGTGGTTACTGAAGTCATTTCATTGCATCTAGTTCTTTATACCCAACAATTGAGATTCCACGAATGTGAGAGGCAAGGATTTTTGTGGGCAATATCTTTTGGTGAATCAACTGCATGGTTGAGATGGACTTAAGCTTTTGAAAGTAGTGCATTCTTCTTCAGGTCTGAGGGAAAAAAAAATGGGCACACCAATTCAGCTAATGGTTGTTTTAGTAAAGGCATGTGTCCCAAGGCTTACAATTATACTTGGCATGGAGAAAAACTGTTTTCTTCTCTGTAACAAACCATGTGCTTGAATGGCTCTCTATATATAATACTAATAGGTATGAGAACTCCAGATAGTGAGATGAGTAATTGCTGCAGTTGTGTTCTAATGTTATACCTTTATAAAATTTTCTTATTCCTATTTAATTATTTCTGGTAAACTGTTTTAATGAAATTGAGAATGAGAACATTAACTTGTTCTATTTGCCAATAAATCAATAACATATGGAACATGGTTAGAAGTGAGCATTTCTGTTAGAGGAAAATGGTTTCTTAGAAAGTAGAATTGGTCTCAACTTAGTCAAGGCACATGCCTGACTCATGAGATCAGGGTCCAAGTCTTCACCCTGTGGGCACATCTACACATGCCTATTAAATGAGGAGCAATAAACTCCGGTGTTTGTCATACCATAGTTTATTGTTCCCCGATGCCACATATACATGTGGGCCCAGAGCTACAGCATGTTGAGCCAGGTGAGAGCATCCCCAGCTGGCAGGAGGCCCTGGAGAGTCAGCCTGCCAGCCCAGGGCTGCTCCAACATGATGTGGAAGGGCCGGCTGGGGCACAAGAGTGCTCAGTGCAGGGCTAGCATGACAGGCAGTCCACATACTGAAGCACCCTCATACCCCAGCCAGCCGGGTCAGCATGTACATCTGCACTGCTGAACGGAAAAAACTCCACAGCAGGGTAGTCCTTGTAAATGCCCTGCTACCCTGCTGTGGAGTTCATTAGTTTCCTGAGGCCTAATAGGACCCCACGTGTAGACACTGAGACATTTACTGCAGAGCTAATTAGGCAGCTCCGTAGCAGAAGTTTTGTGTAGAGGTACCCTGTTACAGTCTTTCAGAATCTGGAAGAGTTATTTGCTACCTAATCCTAATCCTATTGAAGTTGATAGGAGTTTTTCTAAGCATATTTGGATCAGGCCCTTAATGGCTTTGTGTGGCAGATCCTTGTCTTCAAAATGGCCTGATAATATTTTCTCTCTCCCTCTCTCCCTGGGCCTTGCCTATTTCACCTGTAAAATCTTCAGGGAAGAAACTGTCTCTTCCCATCTGTTATGTATAACATCTCTCACAATGAGACTGACCTCAGTGGGTACTGTTAAAGCAAATAAAAAGATGTAGGAATGAATAATTTTACTTAAAATATCAGACAACCTAAGTGGGCTTTATTTGTTTGGGAACAGGCACTGGAGCTAGGGAGCAGAGAGAAGGAAGGTAAGGATGAATAAGATGATCATGAACTAAACATGTCCATAATTGTAATTTTGTTCTTTGATGCAAAAACAAAAGTTTTCTAGCCATCTACAGACTGCACTAAGGCCAAGAGCTGAAATGAACAGCTAAATTAAAAGGCCAGATTTAAAATGCCTGAGGTCTCAATGAACCTTTAGGGTTTCAGTGCAACTGTTCAAAGACTAATACAGTTTTTCAAATTCACAGCTTGTATCCAGCTATAGTAGAGTTAGTGACTGAATGCTTTTTGAATGGTGACATCTAGTGGCCTAATTAGTTAGTCTGGTGACTGCAGGAGAAGAAGTTGGTTCAAAAGGGCTAGGAGTTGCAAAACTTACCTGCCTAAAGTCATAGGGTTTGGGATCCTGGTATGTGCCAGTCTTATACTTTCCATTCTTTACAAACATTATCTCAGCTTCATATAAGCCCACCTGAGGAAACCTTGTGACAAACATGGGCAATTTCTTCTTCCCTCCCAAAGGAGGGAGGAACTGGCTAGAATATATCAAAGATAGCTGCTGGATGGTGTCAGCTTTTGAGCTCTTGCTCTTCTTCTGTTCTTTTTCTTTTTGACGTGCCTGAGGTGGTGGTTGGGAAGTTTGATAAAGCTTGTAACTAAAATCAGGAGGCTGCTTTTGCCATGTATCTGAACCGGTTCTGGGAGGTTGCTTAAAACTTTGATTCTGTGCAAAGGCCAAATCCAGGCTTGCAGTAAATTTGATTTTTCTATCAAAGGAGAAGAAGGGATGTTTGCCTTTGTGAAGAATGGTCACCATTTCTACTTCACGTGGTACCTGCTAAAGACAATAATTATTTTGACTTAGGTTGAATAGAGCATTATTATATTTAAAATAACCAAATGCCTGTATTCATACTTAACTGAAGGTTGTGACTCAGTACCCTAATTTAGAATAGTAATATAATTGTGTGGCTCAGCTAAGACGAGAGGAAGATGATCTTGTGGTTAAGGGGTTAAAAACTGTGACTTAATTCATCTTCTTGCTCATGCATAGATTCCAATTCATTTTTATTCGATACTAACCAATTGCCTGTCAAGAATGACAGGGGGCGGGTGGAGGGAAGGGGCGGCTGGGATGCAGGTCCGCCACCTCCCGCCCCATGCTGCCGCTGTTCTGCCTCTTGCAGAGAGTGGGGTGGGGGACCCAAGGCCAGCAGCCTCAGCTCCCCCACCCTCTGTCTGGTCCTCGGAGTGGCTTCAGAATCATGGTGGTGCCCCCCCAAGCTTAGATTACTTCAATTGACTGTTTCTGTCAGTCAATCAGAGCGCAAATAAAGCATTACAGACAGACAGACAGATGTAGGCTTTTATAATGTTAGAATAGTTTCTTATATCCTACTCATCACCAGAGCTGTGTTGCCTTGTGGGGCATCAATCTGCAAACTGATCTGAACAAGTAAACACTTAACCCCACAAAGAGCCCCCTTAAAGTTAAGGGCGTCAGGATCTGCCTGTTCTTGCCAGCTTGTCAGGACTTTGATCTTTCTGTGCCTTGGTTCCTGATATATAAAATGGGGATAGAGAGAGGTAGTTAGCCATGTTAATCTGAAGTCAGACAGAGGTCAGGGCAGGGTAGCAGGTAGCAGGGTGGTAGCTTAGGCCATTTGTAGACATGCTCACCATTTTCTAAAACATGTTAACTGCTTCATATCACACAGTTTGCATCAAATTTCAATTTGAATTAAGGGTTAATAGATTATTATTGACCATCAGCCCCTTAATATACTCAACGTAGTATACTATACTCAATACACAGCATCTCTGTGTTGGCTTATGTGCTTAGCACTTGGGGATGGAAATAGGTACTTGTGCAACAATGTAGCAGTGCTTAAACAGGTTTATTATCATCTCCTAATTAAGTTGTCTAAAGTGCTGTTCATAGGACTTGACCTGAGTGTTGATGACCATTGGCAGAGACCAGGGAGTTTGCCCCCTTCTTCCAGACCAGTAGCCTGTGTGCTTGGGCAGGGCTGGGGGGTAGTCAGGATAATGATACTTAGTTACTGTGAGGTGTTGTTAGCACATGTGATTCTGTAAAGGTGTTATTTTGTGCCTGATAGCTTCTGTTGTGTTTCAAAAAGCCAAATTGAGTTTCCCTTGTGAGGAATGATATTTGCAATGCTTATCTGCTAAATTCTTAAAAACTGTTCTTCCTAAGAGCAATGCTCTGTGTGTGTGTGTGTGTGTGTGTGTGTGTGT